AACATTGTGGAATGCAAGATGCATACTGGACTAGACGGCATGAAATTTCAGGTGTAATTAGCAATATTGCTCTTAACCCGTCACTTGAAACAGGATTGCTTGAACTATATGTTTTGCGGTTTGACAGTGCGATACGATGCACAAAAAGCTTGAATGAAGTACACACCACGGTGGATACGCAGGTTTGCTGCGACCGACTGGCCACCGTTTCTACTACTTTCTTCAAAATCCAAGAGCACGTTGGCAGTAGAAGAAACGAGCATCCACAATGCCAGTAACAATGGATGAATAACGTCATAACGGCAACGTCCTGGTGCAAATTCTGTGTGATAACATATCATATCTTGATTAATTAAACCTTAATTTTCGTTAGTTGAGTAGATTTCGACATATCTTAGCAACTATCTGCGCTCGCTTCTAAAGCATTGACAAAACGTCTGTGACATCTGTAGAAGGTGTTGTTGAGGAACATAAATACGATTATATACTAACTCAAGTGATTCATTCCTCGCACATCACAGTACTTTTTCATATTTTTATACATGTCCATATAAAATGGAGCACCACTGTGTTCCATAAATCACGCATGGGTTCACTTCATTCGCCACGGTATTTTCAATGTTTTCATGACCTATCGTGAAAGCGTTTTCTCCACATAGGTATATCAATTGATAGTGCATAAGCTTCTCTGTGTTTTGCGAGGTCAACTATGTTCGTACGGAGTGGACGTTTTATCCATGTGTCTACCGTTCAGAATTCCACATTTTATATCAATTTTGCCTACTTGCTCCCTTTCAATAGTATGCAGAAAGTGCATTTGACTCACTGTCTCTTCAAACTTTTATATCAATTTTGCCTACTTGCTCCCTTTCAATAGTATGCAGAAAGTGCATTTGTCTCACTGTCCTCTTCAAACTGATATTCATCAGCAATTAGGCTCTGTGATTCTCTTTACCGCATAAGTTAGTTTGCCACACGGCCGCAGAAACAAGATTAGTTTAACCAGATTTAAAAGCGAAATATAAGTAATATATAAATTTGTCATCAGAAAAGTATTTGAAAATTCCTTGAAGCCCACAGGCATCAGATATATCAAGTTGTCGAATGTTCAATAAGCTCCAAATACAATGTACATCCCAGTTGTTTGAAGCACATGATGCAAAATAAAGTACAACCACAGACATTCACTTTTCTGAGAAACTGCTGATTGTTCCGTCACTCACTAAACTAAACCCTCTCGACTTGGATGTTCACCATTAGCCTAATCGGTCATATCTCACCTTAAATCAACATCAGGCCAAAGCATACACTGATGGGTTTGTACCAAATAGATCATAAGCAGAAAACCCATTCGGAAAAATGACTAAACCAGCACACATCACTTGCCTAGTACAACTGACAATATTTCATAATTTGTTGTAAATGTATCTTGTTTGTCCAATTATCACGCTCCTCATTACTCAAAAGTTTTCCGATCGCCCTTTTCCTTGTAGTGGAAATTCAGTTTGACGACTGTTCCTTGGAGAGTAAGTCACTTCCTCATTTATTTGTGGCAACTAGGTATAAACAGTCAAGGGTTGTGGGTTTTTAGATTATCTATTGTTGCAGACAATAAAACTCAGTGTACGGTTTCGCCATGACCTTGAACGTTCGTTAGCGCGTTTGATCTAATTATGTGTCCAAGTTTACAAGGGCTCATGAGGGGAAGAGTCGGGAATTGTTTACCGGCGGTTAAAACTCCCATGGACAGGTTCATAAGTAGTCTTTGATTTCTCCAAAATGAACTGCATATTTAAGCCGTCAGTGAAATTCTTGTGTCATTACCGAGAAGATTGTGGACCCACGGAACTCGTTTCAGATGCAAACGTTTGCAACAAAAGAGAATCTGGCCTTTACAATACACTGTCAAGCTTGAATTTGCAGTCTACTGACAATAAACATTCACGGTTTTTAGCATGCGTAACCGACCAGCAATTGCAACTTATCAACAAAAACTAAATGTCTATCGTCTCCTGGACACGGCTTCGTGAATTTTCCTGGATATTCATTGCCTCAATCCTCCATTACTCAAATCCAAGAAACTGGTACAAAGCGGCCTCGCAGACTTCGCAACAGCTCTACTATTTCCAAAGGACGCAAAGCGAAATTCCAAAAACAACACACTGCTCGCACTCCTCTCATCGGTATAATCACGGTTATAAACCTTCACCGTCTAAAGTCGTTCGCGCGCCGTCGATTTTCATTTACCTTCGCTTCGGCAGCGGGTCTACTCGGCTATTCTTCGGGTACATCACGACACTGGCGGGGCTACGTCTTATTTACCCGATTATCTTAAACGGTATAGACGTTCCCCGACGGTCGATAACGACAAACTGTTCTTGCCATCAAATGCCCAGGTTCCACGCCCTCCAGGATACTATTGATCCTCCCACTTGACCTTCCTGCTTATGGGGATTGTTCGCGCCCTTCTATTTCTGCATAGGCCTTTCCTGTCCGGGAGTCACGTTTTCTCAAGCTCTCCTTCTTTCTTCCTTTAGCTGCCCTGGAGAGAAGCGTGCTGCCGGCCACAACGCAAATTCCCGAACAAATCGAAGGCGTAGACGTCGACCGTACATCAGCATAAACGGGAACTTGCTTATGGTTCGTTGTATGGAAGCACGATGCGCTTGCAACACCATTGGTAATTCCACGTCCCAGTCTCATCCACTGGCCACCAGCCATTCCTTGATTTTTCGGTTGTAACGTTTGGTTAGGCCGTTTGTTTGCGGGTGGTATGTTGCAATCCTTAACCGTCTGCCACCCAGCTTCTGCAAACAATTCTCAAATTCTTCGCTCTCGAAGCGAGGCTTATGATCGGTTAGGATAATCGCTGGCACCCAATGGTCACCAATATGTGATGCATTACCACTCCAATGGTCGTCGTCGCCCGCAGATTGGGCACAGCTGCCGACTCAACCCACCGCTTACAGGACACCACATTGTCAATCACCTCACTTCTCAACGGTCGAGTATTTTCGTCCAACGTTAGTCAGGACACGGATGACATATTCGATAACTTCATCTCTATGCCTCAGGAGTGCGTCGATAAATCAATCACTAGCGTCTATTGCAACACAGGGCATCTCTGCGGCCAACACACAATATCCTAGCTTTGAAAAGCTCGAAAGCCTCATGTGTTTCTCCAGTCGATCCAAATTTTGCACGAGTAAGTCGTGCAGTGGCGCAGCGATCGTGTTGAAATCCTTAACAAACCGCCTATAGTATTCTGTTCGTCCCAGAAATTGCCGTAGAGGCCGCTTTGAATTGGAAACAGTAAAATCCTCGTTCTTTGCCAAGTTTCTGGAAGTCAGCCAACTTCTCCGTGACCCACTTTATGCCATATGCAGTGTCAATGAACTACGAGAGAGCTATTTCTGGGCTTCATTTGTCCGCAGGCCAGCCGACCGTATCCGCTTTAATACAGCGTTTGAACGGTTCCGATATCTTCCTCGTACACGTCATCATTCTGCGAGGCATGAAGAGCCGAAATGTAAATGGTTACCCCGACTCTCCAAACGGCATTCGTCTGAATTGATATTCGGTGTCCCTTAACTGAAACGCCGTTTTCTCTCAGGCCTTCACCTTGAAAGGTGGTTGCCTGTATCCGGAACGCAAGTCGAAATCAACGAAATATCGAGAACGCTGTGGCAATCGAAAATCTCTACAACCGAGGGCACAGCGTCAACACTATATACGTTCAGTTCAATCAACCACCGAAAATCAACGGGAAACCTGTGTTTTCTGTTCGTTTTCCCTAAAGGCAACACTGTGGTATTGTACGCACTTTTGTCTTCTTCGATTATGCCATTCTTCAACAAATCTGTTTATGGACCTCCTCTGATGAGACCATAAGGTCGAAAACGTTCCGATGACGGAGGAATTTCGTGTTCACTCCACGGGCAGAAGTCAAATGGATCCTCATCGCTCGTGAACAGTTCGGGGTAGTTCCTCAAAAACGATCCGTACCTACGGAAATTTTCGGACACACAGCTCACTCACGGAAGCGTCTAGGTAGACGTCAAGGTTGATTGCGCCATACCTTCTAACCAGCTTTCCTGATTTAGATCAACCACGGAACCTGTGCCCTTGGGGCAAATCGCCCCCAATATTAACTATTCTACATCTGGGATGATCAGGGACGCATGCGGAAAGGACTTGCCGCCTAACCGTATCGAGTGCTTTGGCAATCCCTCAATCTTCAGTCGATATCCATCTCCCGCTCTCACAGCTAGCGCGCTTGGATCACTATTCGCCTCAGCGATACGTCGGCTGCTGTATCAATCAAACAACTCACTTCTCTCTTCTACCCCGACAACTTCTTGTATGGTACCGTGTCAGTGCGCTAATCGCGACCCGATCGGAAAAGCGGAGTACTCTGAAGTTTTATTATGTAAAAGTGATCGGGTGCGGGGACACTGATTCTCCCAGTGGCCAGGCTTGCCGCACATGTAGCACCGGCTGCTTCGAGCGTGACGCCGCGATTCTGACTTCACGGCTACAAGCTGTTCAAAGAATCGGTCCACCTTGGTCAGCGGTTTCTCCACCGATGAACGTTCCAACTTCTCGCGCGACTGCCAGTATGGTTCGGCCAGTTCCTGGGCCAGATGCGCCAGCTGCCCCACACGCAAATGAACAGTTGCTCACGCTTACCGCCACTGGGTACCAAGCGTCGTCCCGACCTCTTCGACGAACTGGTTCGATAGCAACTGGTGGTGTGACACACTGTCTGGCCCCGGCTAAGCGCGATTCAACGACTGCTCAAGGCCAGCGAAGAACACGGTCTGGTCAGACCAGGGTGCCATCAAGGCCTTCGTGGACCGCCCCATAGCCTACTGGCGTTAGGTCGGAGTGTCGAACTCCGCTGCATGCACTTCCTTCGCGGCGCCTCAGTCCATCTTCCGAGGGGCTCTTCTGGCCGCATCCAGGGCCGACTTTGCATAGCCCTTTGAGGAGGGTCTTCAGCGCCGCCAAAATACCCCATCTGTATCCAGTTCGGCAGTCTCCGCAACTTCCTCAGCGTCCTTCGAAAAGTTCCGAACGTCCCCAACCTTAAAGGGTTGCGGCGATGGGATCTTCATTTTTATCCTGGTGACGGCCCTAAATAAAAATAAGAACGCCTTCGCTGCGGAGTTGTTCATTAGGAAATGACAACTGACCGCTTACAGACTATTGGACAGGGAAACTAAACGCTCGTTTGCATCTTATTTAAAAAACTGGACGTCCATCTTTCCTTAAACGCGTTTTCTTGAACTTACCTGGATATTTATTGACCCGAATCATTCGTTGCTCAAATCCAAGCAAATGTTACAAAGCGACTCCACTATTTTCGCAATAGATTGCCACTTTTCAAGAGACGCAAAGAGAAATTTCAAGAACAACAAATTCTACTCGCATGCCTCCCCATCAGTAGTTTCACTGTTACACTGGAAGTGGGAGAACGGAGTTCAGATTAATTTTCGCCGATAATATTGAAGGTTGTTTATACAAGGGTTTGGGTGTTGTTTTTAAATCTGGAAGAAAAATAAAGGTTTGGTGATGCATTGTTGTTTCTTAAGATGTCTTGCATATAAAGTCAGTAGTTAAATGCAAAGGGTATGTGCGGAACATAATAATCTGTGTTTTGTTATTCACATTGCACAAGTATTAGCATGCCTAAAAGGCCGTAAGTAGTGGTTTTCTGTGAATATAAAGGTACAAAACGAACGTAAAATGATATCTAATTCAAACATGTGCCGATGAAGTTGTTTGGTAACAATCATTATAATTGGGCAACCATCCGTTTCGATTAAAAGGGCAACTTTTCTTCAAGTTCACCCGTTTTTCATTTTGTTCCCATAGCAATAGATTGTTACTTCGCTACAATAACGAAATTGTATCGCTGTTGTGCACACAGAAAATTTTATATCCCTCGCTCTTTACGATGTTGCATCATATGTGGCAACACTGTTGGGTTTCTTCCCGTATGACTGTCTACTAAAATGAGCGTTTAACACTGCAAGTCTCAGGGCAACTACAGTAAATATTGGTGACGAAAACTAAGATAACGCTAAAGTCGACAATTTGAATACATTCTCACCCAAGTACATCTGTCTTTAATGACGATTCCATGGGGATTCCGCATTCAGAGGAAGGAACACTACCAATTATGTGGCAGTTAATTGTATGAAGGCAACTCATATATATTACGATATCAAGAGACCGCTTGTACAGGCAGATTTCAAATGTCCGAATCAAGCGAGTTATTCATTAGTCCGGCGTAGAATGAGCGGATACGTCTAAGGTGGATTTGCCTATTTAATTGGCACAAAAGTTCGTTCGTTGGTTGGATGGTCAGCTACTGTAAACAAAAATGATAACGCTTAATCATCACCAGATCACAATATATATAATTTGCCGAATAACTGCAGTGTACACAGGAGCATTGGAATATGGCCTTTGCTACCCTCGGAATAAATAAGCATTGAAAATATGACAGAACAAGCTTCCTCAAAGGTCTGCTTCTGTCGACCTAAGTGCAATTGTGCTTTCAAAGAAGTGAGTTTCTTTCAGGATTTGTCTCCATGTTTCTGTTGGTTGCCGGGTAAATCAGTTCAGGTTTATTTGCTGCGTGCAGCTAGGTGATGTCTATTGTTTTTGACTAGTAAATACTTGTCTCCTGGGTGTAGAATGGTTGGGGGACGTAGACGGTGTTTAGAAGTTCAAAAGAATTGTACAATATGTTTTTGAAAAGAAACCAGAAAGAAGCAAATAGTAACGCTAATTATCGTAGTAAACGACAACGCATAAGCGCAGTGCAAGCTACTGCATTCCTTGTTTTGAAAAGTAGTTTAAATTCATGCGGCAAGTACTTGTTATTTCGTATATTAATAATCATAGACGCTGGTGATAAGTTTCATAACTGTGCAAAACGTACGAAAGGGTAACCATTACTTGTAATCTGGCAGCCCAATAAATTCTCATGCATAAGGTTCGCCATTCCATTGGCTCATACTGAATAGAGTCGCCATTATTTTATCATTCGCTTATTTTCCCACGTTAAACTTTTTAAAAATGGATGGGAAAATTCCCATCAGTGGTGTTAAGAATGTTAACTGCCTCACCGTATTCCTTCAAAACGCACTGATACGATGTGTACAAAGGAGGTAAATTTTGAACTTTTTGGAGGACAACTGATGTAAAAAATCGCAAACGGTTATCGCAAAAGAATGCCACAAACACCAGCGCAACTCTGCATTATTTTCAAGTATCTTGCCAGAAGAATCACGCCATATCCATTCTTTTATCTACAAAGGGGACAATTGCAGAGTCTCCGATGAGGATTCAGATTGCAGATTTCTTTATTTGCTCCAGATGCTTGATTATGCAATCACACTCCTCCCTGGCATTCTCCGAATCACTGACCAATTTGTTTCAGAAAATGGTGAGTGACAATGATACCATAATTAGAATTTATCAGCCTGATATTATTTTGAAATAATACCAGTCTTGCTTATCTGAGGCGCTTTTCTAACTCGCAGATTAACACTAAATGGAAAACGGCCAACATTTCGGGCGTCAAATAAAGCAAAGTTTAATTTGCTCCGATTCGTGTTATTACAGAATAGTATATTTGTGTGGTATCTAGTGAGTATTACCAGCTATTTCGGGACTCGCGGACAAAATGCCGCGTCGAAGCAGAATGACCCACGTGAAATATTTTGAGTTGTACAGAAATGAAAGCATACTACTGCGCGGATGGCAGGGCACTGTCATATCAAGTCAGATGGCAAATTCGCTAATGGTCAACTGCCTCTTCTTGTACATCCCAAATCCTACCTGCAAATAAGAACAAACTAAGAGACTATTTTCAGTGGCACCTGTATCATTTCGCAATAATTTACCCAGCTCTGCTCTTGGATTGAGATATTTTGGTTGCATTCCCCGTTCCGCGCCTCGCAAAATGTGCGTTAGCACCAAAGAACACCACGAAGCACGTTTTAAAGCCAATCTCCCTTGAATGACGACACCAGGATATCTGTAATATCGCTGTAGGCATCAGTGTTCTCAATGCGAATATCGCTAAATCGTCTACTTCTTCAGGCTAGCATGAGATTTTTGTGACGTTGGCAGTGGATTATACTGCTTGAGCCACGCAGTTACACAAATGTTTCATACGAAATTATAGGAAACTTTAATTCCGTGTGGTGATCTACTACTCTCTTCCAGATAGTTGTTCTGGTTCATAATTTTCAAAAATGTTTGGCAGGATGCTCCATTTTCTCCATAGTTGCTCTGTTTCCAAACTAAATCGGTAATTTTTCTTCAATTTCATATGCTTACGCTGACCAAAAAATCGTACTCAGTCCCGAATCCCTTTGAAATGTTCACTAATTTGGGTCGTTGCACTTTGCTACCTGTATCAGATAATCCACCTTATTTTTGGAGCCGACACGATTTCATGTATTTATATTGTGTTATCCTGACCGTGCCATTATGTTCTTGCCTGACTCTAAGTTAACAGACAATTGGAGGCATACATATTTATCTTTATCGTTTTTATAACCAATACCTGAAATCTAACTTAAGAAGGATAAATCATTAAGGAATATACCTCAACACGGCATCATTCAATGATATGGCATCTTGTAAAGCTTCTTTTTGCAAACAACTGTTCAAAAAACAAAAAGGCCGTGAGTATATCTTGTCTGTTAAATCATGCATAAAACAAATTGTTCGAATTGTAACGCAAAACGTGAACCGGTTTTAACCGGGGCAATCTAGCCAGAAATATTAGTTTTTCCTCATGAACATAACATGGAATAAAGCAGATCTGAAGTTTTGTCATATCTCGTATCTAGTCCCATTTTTGCTTTCGGGATTTTGAAGTCATATAAATCGAAAACGAAAGTTTTGTACCTACTTATTATTATTATAATTATCATTTACTAGTACTCAATACAAACGCTTTGAAGGCGCTATAATCTCGATGCTTGCCTGTTCAACCGGACATTAAATTGCTGAAAATATCAGTGCGGAAAACAGCACAATTAACTTGAGAGAAGATACTGCTACTTTCAAAGAACCTCTTACAATCGGAAACGATTCGAAAAGATGCATAATAGCTTGCGCCGGTAGCTGTGGTATTTTCCGTAGCAACAAGACTTAAGTGCTAGCAATAGTTGAAATTCCAAATCAACACTGAAGCCAAAATGCAAACTAGCTGAACCATTTAAGATATGCTTTATTTAAATAAATACTACTTTTAAGTTGGTCCCTAAATATGTTGATGCATTTCCTGAACACTAAAGCACAAAGCACGAGCGTGTCTGGAATCAGGTCAATAATTATTTTTCATCAAGTAAACACCAATTTAGATACATAAACCTGCAGTAAAATCCCTCTAAACTGCATGAAATATTTGTGCGCACTCTGCGGTTGGATGCAAACCTGTTTGTTAAGCAGAGGGTTTGTAATCTGAATGTACTCGTGAAATGTTGAAATGTTTAAACACGAGATAAATAATACGAAAGACAATTCTCCAGTCGGTTATTAACGTAGTTGACGTTATGATTGTCCCGTGTAAATAATAAATTTAACCTCAGGAATTAACTTGGGGTATGCAAACTAAAGGCTCCGCAATTTAATCCAAATCATTAGTCATACCACTTAACTGCGTTGTGTTTTTACTTTGAAATTCTGTGCAAGAAACAAAATGTTGCTGAACTCGTTTATATATTCAGCCCTGCATTAGGATCAAATAAACAAAAAATAAGCAGCAGAAAACACCCATGCTATTTTGTAATCAATAATTCAATCGATCTAATATTTTTTTAATGTCGGAGGTGTAAATAAATATCTTTCAAGGTGTAGAAATTAAACATTTCCATCGAAGACAAAGTTTCACCGCGCACTTTTGAATCAAGGATACGCATTTGCATGGAGAATTGCAGCAGGGTTTAATAGGCGCAAGGAGTTATTTAACTCAATAACCTACATACTAGATTCCTAAAACCCACTCAGCCACATATTTTGAAACCTTATTCTAACGGCATTTTGCAAGCTTTCCCCTGTCATTTCCGATATACAGACCAAATTACGCTCTCTTAATGTGTACAATA